AACTTGAAGTCATTGAAAATGTTGTTCTAATGTACTAAAATCAACTGGATATCAATTTTATACCTTCCTAATACAGCTCTTCAGTTCTTCCAGAAGTAGAAACTTGTTGGTTGATTTACAATCTGCTGGCATTTTTTTGTTTTATACAGCTTCTTTGTCAGTACTTAACGGTATTAGGGCATCCCCTGCCATGAGTTGTGCAATTAACATCGTTAATCTGCAGGACTTCCTGGTATTGTTGTGAGGGGGATGGGACTCTGACGCAGTATTTGGTCTCTGGCTGACTTTCAGTTCTCTGTAAACTCTCTAGATTAGCTTTGCTTTTGGAAGTACTGAGAGTTTCTTTTCAACAAGTGCACTCTTTAAACCCGACCTTCTGATGGTCAAAGTAGTGATGTGGGGTTTTTTAATTGATAAACCTGACTGGGACGCCCTTGGTAAAGCCATTCAGGTTTTTTGTAGAATGTGACATGGGTTTGGGACTAGTGTTGAGCCTGCACAGCAAGTGTGTCCTGCAGCGCTGTAAGGTCGGTGGGCAGAGTGTCAGTTTGGGCATGGTACGGAAGTACGGCCTTGGCCCGAAACTGCTGCTGGAACAGCGTGAGCCCCAGTCGGTGTTTGTGCGGGGAGCGGGTTCTTTAGCTCACACGTGCCCTGTAAAGGCGTTACAATTAGTGTGGGTCTGCAGCCGTCTCATCCCCCTGCTGCGGTGGGAGGGGATTTACAGATCTGCCCTGGGTGCAGCGTGGCTGCTTGGGCGCTGCCGTGTGGCCTGGTGAATCCTGTGCCAGTTCACAATTCCGGTTTCCTTCAGGTTTGCAGGCGAATGTCTCGGCACCGTCGGGGTGTGTGTGCAAACCTGCAGGGCTGCGTGTACACCAAACAGTCCCACGGTGTTTGCGTTGTGCTGGTGGCGTCGGGATGTTGAGGAACTGGTCAGAACGGCCTGAAACGGAGGAGCAGGCGTTACTGGGTTATGAAGTGGCTAATCCTGCCTCAATTCAGATACTAACACGATATGTAATGTTCCTGTTTTGCTTCCCAAACATGTAGTTTTAATATTAGGCTGTTAAAATATTTCATCGTAACAAATGGGGATGTGTAGTCTGGCAGAGTTGCGGCGCTCTGAGGAATTTTAACTTTTGTTTCCTCTCTTCCAGTGAGCCTGTCAGTTATGAAACCTTAATATAGCGTTGGGCATTAATTATATTTAGGTTTGTAGATTAACTGGGAAACCTTATTTTTCTTTTCATCTCCTTGAGTAGTTACCCACATTGCTCCTCACTGCTTTCATCTGTCTCACTCCCTCATCTCAGTCTGTCTCTACTGTTCATATTTCTCTTCTAATTATGGTAGCGGTATTGCAATATGATCAACGAGATGGGGGAATGCTTTTTTCCTGGAGTTTCAGAAGCATTTGTAAGAATCTGTTAAATGTCTTACTTGAAGGGCTTGAATTAGGAAGTGGACGTGAATGTGATTCCAGTCATATTTTCGTGACTGATCACGTCACTGCTCAGTTGATGGTGTGCATGTTCAGTTTCAAAGTAAAAATAACATTGGCTTGAATGACTTCTGCTAAGGATCAGGGTGATGGATTTTGCTCCCCAGCTGGGGTGGGATCTGAACTTTGTGCTTGGTTACAGCAGCTGATTGTTAAGGTGCATCACTGCAGCTCCCACGTCCTTCAGACCGTCAAGGGAAACCCGTGTTTGCTCCTGTGGTGCTCTGCTAACACCAACGGGGCTGAGAGAAGGATCACCGCCTCTCGACCAGGGAGTCAGTTCAGGCATTTAATATAAATGAGGCATTGTTTCTGTTAATTGTTCCATCAAAAACAAAGCTAAAATTAATGTACTCTGAAAAACAGCACAAGTACTAAGCAGGTGTAGTTAAGTCAGTCCTCCACTAGTGATTTGGCCTCAAGTTGGACACGCACAGAATCACAGAACAGCCCGGGTCCGAAGGGACCTCAAAAGATCATCAGGTCCAGCCTTGCGTGGGAAAGGGCACCGAGGTGACATTACCTAGCACCCCGTCCAACCCCATCTTGAAAACCTCCAGCAGCGGGGCCTCCACCACGTCCCTGCGGGGGTCGTTCCAGTGAACGATTGTTCTCACTGTAAAA